GACACTCCTCTTGCAAGCAATGTAGTCATATTTCCTCATTAGTTCTTTTCAATTGTCACTAATGCCACGTTCCAGCTTTTGAGTGGGAGACAAAAAAACATAAAAATTTGGTATGTATGTAGAATGGGCCATTGTTTTCCATAATTCAAGGCTCTTTTGAATTCCTTTGATAGTTTTGAAGCTTACACAGCTTAATTCATTAACCTTTACCCTTCACATAAATCAGATGATTAAGAACCTATTGCTAAGGAGACAGCATTTTCCCAAAACTAAGTAATGCCTTCTCTTCTTTTAAGAAAAAACCTATATTGCTCACAAAAGTAACCTTTCTGTTGCTTTTCATATTTCATCAAATGTTTCAGGTGCATTTTAGAACATTATCAAAAGCAAGTGAGCATAAAATCACATTATTATAAAAAATAATTCTGGGTGTTTGGGTAGTTCAGAGCAGGTTTTCTGGCCCTTTTCAGTATTTTAACAGGGTTTATATATATATATGTACTCAACAGCTCTTACTCAGGAATTTACAATGGGTGCAGTTTTTTAAATTCTATTCAGAACCCTGCCAAAACATAAAAGCAAGAAAATAATCTGAGAGGAGGCAATTCAGAATGAACTAAAGTATATTTAAGTGAACCTAGGACATTTGATTTGGAGAAGCTTTTCGCAGAGGCCCTCATTTTCATAAAGAACGATAATGTGGGGCTCTGAAGAAGATAGGGGTGTCTGTGGTTTCATGGAGCTGAGAACAGAATGTATGTCTTCCTGTTCTTTATTCACTCTTGTTAAGACATGCCTCCTCTTCTCAGAACTCAGGGAGATGGTTTAGGAGCTTGTGTTTGATGTTCACGGGCTCCTTTAACGGTATTTGATATTCTTCTGCATTTTCCACTTGGCATATTCCTATATTAGGAATTTTTCTTGGTAATGTTAGCAGTTACTCCTTTCTCAAAGGATCTTGTTCTTTCCCCCAGTTTTATAATTCCTTGGGTTGTCATGCGTGCAGTAGGAAGTCTTTGAATGCATTGACCCATGGAGAATGGTGGTCATGTGGTATTCTGAGGTTCATCTCTAGGGAGGAGGGCAGGGGCAGGGGTGGGGGGTGAATGGGCAGGTTTTGAATTTTGGATTCTGAGTTTAGGGATTCATGACTTATCCCTAGTGACAAACTATGATTTAACACTGAGATTAGTGAATATTCTCCTCTTCATTATCTGTAAGTAGGCAAGGGGATGGCGAAGCAAAGGTTTTAAATGTGGTCTTTGGTTCTTTTGTGTTCCTGCACACAGACTGTGACTTTGCAAACATTTCTCTCTTTTTTTGTATCATTTTAAATACCTCTTAAAATTTACATGAATACCTGTAGTCAGAATGTTTAAGTAATTACTAAAGCTTTGTCACCTTTTTTTGTTGCCTGCATAGTCTGTACAGTGAACTGGGAAATGCTGTGATGTTAAGTCGTGACTAAAGGGCATGACTGGGCTCCCCTGGTGGCTCAGTTGGAAAAGACTCGGCCTGCAATGGAGGAGACCTCGGTTCCATTCCTGGGTTTGGAAGGTCTCCTGGAGAAGGGATAGACTGCCCACTCCAGTATTCCTGGGCTTCCGTGGTGGCTCAGACAGTGAAGAATCCACCTGCAATGCGGGAGTCCTGGGTTCGATCCCGAGGTTGGGAAGATCCCCTGGAGAAGGGCGTGGCAAACCACTCCATGAGAACGTGCTGGAGAGTCCCATGGACGGAGGAGCCTGGCGGCTGCAGTCCGTGAGGTCACAGAGAGTGGGACGCGACTGAGCGGCTGAGCGCAGCAGAAAGGTCACAACGAGAGCCAAGACTTTCCAAGCAGAGGAGAATTATTTAAAGCGAACGTGTTCCACAGACATGGCTTGTGTTAGGGCACGTCCTGTAAATATCTGTCCATGGAATTCTCCAGGCAGGAATACTGGAGTGGGTAGCCATTCCCCTCTCCAGAGGATTTTCCCAACTCGGATTTAACCCAGGTCTCCTACATTGCAAGAGGATTCTTGACTGCCTGAGCACCAAGTAAGTCCCCAGATATGCTCTACTCTAGACTGGACTCTAAAAGTTTCAGGAGGAAAGGACAGTCACCAACCAGGGGCTGTCACAATGATTTGCTATCACTGCAGGTTGCCTGGGAACTAGACCCAGACTAATGCCTGGGCTTCAGACACTGGCTTCCCTGCTGGCTCCGGCAGTAAAGAATCTGCCCGCAGTGCGGGAGACACAGGTTCAGTCCCTGGGTAGGGAAGATCCCCTGGAGAAGGGAATGGCAATCCACTCCAGTATTCTTGCCTGGAGAATCCCGTGGACAGAGGGATCTGGTTAGCTACAGTCCATGGGGTTGCAAAGAGTTGGACATGACCGAGCAAGTACCCTTCACTCCAGACGCTAGCCAGGAACCAGACGTGGGGTTCCATTTTCCACCAGTTTGCACTAACAGGATAACACGAACCACTTCTATTTTCAACTGTCAAAAATATAGTTATTTTACCTCTTTATTTGAACCATCAACTTGGTATTAGTATGATAATGAGTTTCAGTCCAGGTTCACAAGAACTTCAGACTTCTGAAAGATCACATCTGTGAGATATGTGATATTTAATTTAAAAAATAATAAATTTTGCTAAAAATCTTCCAAGGAACATTTTATTTTCCCTCTGTGAATTCCTTTTTGAGGAATAGCTTTATGTTGCACCTAACTTCTAGCACACTGGTCGTGATTATAGGATAATTAAAAGTATTTGGAAAACCTTATGTAGCTGAACTTTTTAAAACAGAGCAAAACTCCTACGTGATCCTTTGTAAAATGCTTTTCTCTTATATTTCTCTGAAACATACATACTCTTTACCTCTTCATCATGTGTGTTCTCTTGGCTGTTGCCTCTTGAGCAAACTAAATATATTTGTGTTATCTATTCATAATAACTTTTCTCTCTCATGTAGGGAGGAAACCTGATGCTCATGGCTTTTCATCATTTTTAGGACAGTTTTTATCCAGTGATTGATTATCTTATTTTATGTGAATACCAGTTCTTGTTGCCTATGAAATAGCATTTGATCTGGCTTGTACAGGGAAATCAATTTGTGTTATTTGCCATCTGTAGTCTGCTCTGCGTGTCTTTTATGATCACACGTGCTTGTAGCATATCTGATGTAGAGTCAAGTGGTGAGAACACAAATGGGGTATTGTGTTTGTTTAGATTTTTTTCCATAATCAGGTGTTTTGAACTATTTGAAAAGACTGTGAAAACAAAATAAATGATGTGAACATATTTCTGCACTAATATTTCATTTTGTGGTCATACAGAATGTTGGATCTGCCAACTTTTTTGGAAGGTGATGGAGGAAGACAGGGAGCTATGTACGGCAGAAAGGAGACTTTTTAAATTAACTATTTATGATATTATAACCAAGCAGGGCCTTTATTTTTATCCTTAGGATATGAAAATTAGTTTTTCAAGTCATATGTAAAGCATGGTGGTTGCCTGTAGTTTCATTTCTGCATTTATTTTTCCTTTTTTATGACTTTATTCAAATATTACATTAAACTCAAATGATGCAGAATTAGGTTTAAAAATTTCCCTTCATAATAAGCTATATCAATCATAATTACATTGTTACTGTTTTAAGTTTTCTATTGTAACCATGGAACAGCTTACCCATTTTTTATAATAAATCTTTTTTTTAAAAAACAAAAAAAAATGTTTATTCAGTTAGTCTGAGAAACTTAGAAATGTTTATCATTCCATTAAGACAATATTCTATAAAGATATTTTTAAAAGAAAAATATGTCTTCTCTATAACTAATTTAACCTTCAGTAATAAATTATGTGAAGTAAAATTGTATAAAATTTCCTGACATTTTATGAAGATACCTACAAATAAGCCAGACAGCAAATAAAATATCTGAAAGACAGAGATGGATACTCAGTAATTTTTGATGGATTATACACATAGGTATCAAATTACTTGATCCTTACTTCCTAGAAAAGGTTAATGACTCTTTTTGCTTTTACCCTTTTACTTAACTGTTGTTTATAAAGATTACAACGGGGACTGCACTGAAGGACGCACATGCCTATGTGTCAGTTTGATTGTACACGTTTTTCTGATATTACAGGGGACTGAACCATCAAATGGATAGTGTTGTTAATCATTGCTTATAAAGTTCATTCAGTTTTGTGTTACATGTCCCACTGTGGACATTAGAGCAGGGTACACCACTCAAAATTTTAACTTAAATGAAACCAGAAGAGACTTTAAATCCTACATATCTATATCTATATTATTTCAATGGCCTATATATATGCAACAGTTCATCTAAAACATTAATAATAAAACCAGGGAAAATATTTTAATGTTCTTATATGTATGATTTTTCTTTCTTCTTTAATCAGTGTCACAGATTTTTAAAACATTTTTATGTTGAATAAAACTTCACAAATGTATATCAATGTTATCAAACTCCACCATTAAAAATTAAACCATGAGCAATATTACATTGACTTATAATGAGCCAGTTCCCTTTGGAGGAATCGAACTGGGGTCTCCCGCATTGCTGGCGGATTCTTTACCAGCTGAGCTACCAGGGAGTCCCTTATAATGAGCATCCATGTATATTCTACAGCTTCATTACTTTATGTAAATGATAAATATTCATTATATAGCATATGTTTACTAATCTTTTATTACCAAATGTAACACTGCTCTTAGAGGAATATCTCTTTTTCATCAGTTTAGCTTTACAAGATGCACTAATCATAAATGTATTTAATTAAGGTCATTTAAGTATTAAAGCACTTGAGTTTAAAAAACAGGGAATATAATACCTTTTCCTGAAACACCTTGAGAGCGGTTTGCGGAAAGAAGAAAGCTGTGGTATTCATCAAACGCTGGCCTCTTCCTGTCAGTCGTGGCCAAACGCTTGCTAATTGGACTTGAAACGCGTTAGAGTAAGTCGCCACTTTCTGTGTGTGTTTCAGGTGTGTGGAGGTCATCGCAAAGGAAGGGCAGAACCTGAAAGAGCTGTACCTGGTGTCCTGTAAAATCACAGACTACGGTATGTAATGAGCCATCGTCCCACTCGTTCTTAAGAGTAAAAAGGTACAGGTCTTTGAGAGCTTTTTTAAAAGAGATCAACAGCTACTATCTCATAGAGACTGAGATTTATCTTTACTTAGGCAAACTCTGATCATACTGCCCCAAATCAAGAAATCTTGAAATTAGAACCAGAGTAAAATGAATATATGTATTAGTTTTATCACCACATGAAATCATATACATACTCACATAGAATTAAAAAGTATGGCTTTTGCTATATGATGAAACTAAATATTGGGATAATTAAATATTTGATATAAAGTAATTATTATATTGTGTTGATTTGCTTAATTTATGTCATGTCGAATGCACACTTGCTGACATTCCAAATGCCAACCCTTCTTAATGCCTTAAATTCTTTAAAACATTGGAAACTTCCAATAGGAAGTTTAGATATATAGGAAGTAAAAGGTATATACATTTGTTTGTAAGAGTTTAAATATGTTAATTTTAAATATTCCTTTAAAGTGGAGAAAAGCAAGTTATTATATAAAAATATGAAAAGTATGAAGTCATCTTATTGAAGTAATAAAGAAAATAACCCATCTAGGCTTTCCTCTTTTGTTCAGTGCATTATAAATATTTTTTTACTATTAATTTGCATATTTAATCTAAATACAGAGTTTTAACTAGATGTTTTTAAATGATTTCCATTTCTCTTTTCTGATTTTTAAAGTTGTTTCTTTATATTGAAGAATATGCTTTCTACCTTGAAGGAAACTAATAATCCATTATTATTATTTTCTTTTTTACTGTTAATCCAACATATGCTGATAATTGACTCCAATCCTAAGATATCATACTGACCATCTGGCCTGGATGGGAGAGTTGACTTTTATCAGCTACTAAATTCATCCTTTGGAAAAACTCTATGACAGCTATAACAAAAAATAAAAAATAACATAAAGGATTGGCTTAAAGATAGCCCTAATTTCTTTTCAGAGTTTATTTTTTGAGATCGGTAAATTTCTTACATGGATTCATCCATGATGTTTCTGGGTCGTTGTCTTTTTTGTAATTACACCGTGAGAAAGGAGTGTTTTGATGTTTTCCTTTTTGCATGTAGTTTGCTTTCTGGTTTGGCATATTAGATTGCCTGTAAGATACAGTAACTCTAAAGCCTTCAATGCCTCCCTTTTGTCTAGACCTTAGAGTGTTCTCTCTGTCCCAAACTGGGCAGATCCTCAAAACCTGTAGATTTGGTAATTAACTAGTACATTCATTTATTCCAAACACTTTGCTTGGCATTCAAAATCCTTTACCATTAGTCCCATACCTGCCTCTCCAATCTTAATAAATGCCAGGAAAACTGTGGACTAAGTTCTTTAGAATGGGCCCTTCAAGTCCCGCAATGAAAACTGTTCCTAAAATTACACTCTGTCGCAGCACCAGTAAGTTACCCAGTGCAAGGAAATGTTCCAGAAGTCATGGAAAAGAGGAAACGCTTTGGACCTGGGACAGATAGGGAATCGAGTTCAGTCTTTATGCTTTGGCCTCCGGGAAGTTCCTTCACATCTCTGAGGCCATTTTCTCACGCGTAAACTGACTTCGTGGTCCCGTGTGTCCCTGGTCTAGTGAGAGCGCGGTGTGTACTGCTGAGCGAACTTGCTTTCCTGCAGGAGAGGGACACAGGAAAGACTGACCCACAATTCTTCTGCCTCCTTTTCTCTCCTGGGAAGGAAGGTCTTGGGAGAGGCCTTTGTTGTTGTTGCTGTTGCTATTATGTATTGTTATTGTTTATTGCTATTGTTCACTGATATTCTCTGGTTCTGGTGTTTTGAGATTTTAGGTTTTGTTTTTCTCTCCTGGTGAGGTGAAAACTATGTTAATACTTTGCCCTTGTGGTTTGTGTTTATTCACATCTCTGAATTATTTAGGTCAGCTGTTCTCAACCCTCTCTGCAGGTTAGGATCACCTGGGGAAGTTGTAAACCATTCTGATGCTTGAATCTTACACAGGGATTTCAAAATTTCCGGGAGGTGGTGCTCAGGCAATAAAACGTGCCTGAATGATGTCAGTGTCAGCCAAAATTGAGAACCACTGACCTAGTCTACTCAAGAGAAACTAGAAGTGAAAATTTTGAGGATTGCCTCCCTCCATGGAGAAATTATCATGGTTTTTTCATACCCTCCAGCTCTCCAGTCCTCTGCCCAGCTCATCTCCCTTCCTTCTCCCTGGGATTTGTGGTGAAAACCTCTCAGAGGATTTGTGGTGAAAACTTCTGTGCATCCGTTCTGTTCTTCAAAATGTTGGGGCACAGCTGAGGTAGAAGGGTAGAGGTCGGTAGTTTATGAGATTGTGCTATAATTGCTACTTGATTGTAAAATTTTAAAAAATTACTGAACACTCAGCTCCCCTCCCTTTCTCCTTGTACCCTGCCAGTAACACATGAACAGTTTTTGTCAGAAAGACAGCAGAAAAGATGATTCATTGTAACCAGAGAAACAGCATGTTTTTGGAAGTAACTGCTCTACTACGGGAGGGTGTGATCCTTTGCCCTGTGTTAATTATAAATTTTAAGAAAGAAAAGCAGATGCTATTTTCCTTCTTTAATGGAATATATATTCTGTAGGATTTTTTTTTTAAGCTACTTAGAAATAGTAAAATTCTATGTACCTGATACCAGGGGAATTTCACCCTTCAAAAGACGATCCTGATTCTGCTTCCTGTAGCTTTGCACATACTCCAGCCAGTCTCCTGCTCACCTCCGTTTTCCTTGGTGTTTGTACCTGCTCCCATTACAGTATCCTGAGATGTTTGAGGTTCTCTGCAGGTTGCATCAATTCAGAAACAGTAGCTCGCCTGGCTTATAGTTTCCAATTTTTGTCGAGATTCTCACAGGTGTTGAATGTGATGTTGTAGTACTTAGCGACACCTGGCCAGGCTGGTAGGCAGTTATGTTCATTTTAATTGATATATGATATACTTGTTATGGAGAAAAGTGTCATTCTAATAGGCTTCTTATTCCCCAGATTGAACATAGATCTTTATGGTAAAGGATAACAATTATAAACAAATCAATAATTCAGGCACAGCTGAATGGAAAATACAGTCTTGGGTAATTGCTCCCTAAAGACAAAATAATATTGTCACTCTTCTGTCACTAAACAAATAAATGTTATGGGCTGTTATCAGAGGAAAAAAATTCAAACTAAGGTGTCAGAGAGTTGGGTTAGAATTTGTCTCATCTTTTTTTTTTTTTTTTTTTTTTAATGATCTGGACTAAGTTACTTAACCTTTTAATTTTGTCGTCTGTTAAGCACATGATAATGCAGACCATAAAAGGTGGTGAAAATGAATCTGAAACATCTGTATTTTGCCTGGTGGCACAGTGGTTACTCACTGACAGCAGTTCTTCTAACTCTAGAATTGCAAGAACTCTCTTTGTGTTTTTCTGAAGAATCAGGCCTCTTCCTCCTCCAAGGGTGGCTTTCTGTTTGTGGGAATCGTTCTTTGTAAGTTTGACCTTTGTTAGTCTACGCATGCCTAACTGGCTTCCACACCTAAGCTACCTAAACCATATTGTTCTTTGTAGGGAGTAAATAGAAAGATGCAGGAAAAAGTTGAAAATCTTTATCTTAGGTTATCCCTATCTTAGGTTTCTTCCCTCTCTTTTCTCTGGGTTTCCTTCATTTTTGTTTGGATAATTTGGCTCCCCTTATGCTTTTTTGTTCTTATAATAATTTGTCAATGAAGAATTTCCAACCTGCCTTTCCGCTTGCCTTCAAATACTTTCCTGTTGAAAAATTCTCCTCCTTCAGAAAGGTTTGTCCTTAGGATTAAAGGGAACAAGAGAAGTCAGCGTGTGTCATTCGTGCCCGCGGAGGTCAGAGCCAATCTTAGGCAGTAAGGCGGAGACCCTGTGGTCTAATAAAGGAGATGGATGAAGAAAAGCCTCCTCTCCGTTAGCGGCAGGCAGTGAAGGTCACCAGTGTGACCCCGTGTCAGGGCGCAGTTGTAGAAAGGACCCTGCTTTGTGGGTTGTGAGCACATTTCCTTTGACTTGAGCAGTCCTGCGGGCCCTGGAAATGCACTCTAGGGGATATCTTTTTGCTTCCTGTCTCACGTTGTCAAATAACCTTTTAATTAAAGAGGACTGGCAACACTCAACTTCTGACCCCGCCGCCTGGGGCCTCCAGGGTCCCTGCCGCCCCCAGCACAGCCCTCGGCCGCCGCTCCGGTGCCCGTCCGGCCCTCTGGCTGCTCCGGGACTGAGAGCCCGACCCCCGGCCTGCCGCCGAAGCTGTTGGGCCACTCTGGCCAAAGCAGCCTCCCAGACGAGGAGGCCAGCGTTGCAGCGGTTATCGCGTGAGGTGCCGTTTCGGCTGGCCTGCCGCACGACGGACACGCCGTGTGTATTCGCCCTGCGCACAGACGCTGCCTCGGCGCCGGCTGTGTGCAGGCCCTGTGCCGAGGCGGCCTGCTGGGGCGCACGCCTGGGGCTTCCGTGCGGGGCCCGAGCACAGCGCCGCCTGCCGCCTGCGGGAGGAAGGGAGAGCGGTAACGCGCCGCCGTGCTCCGGACCGGGAAATGGCGGGGAGGGCCGGTGCCGTTCACCCCTGCCGGCTCTAACCCTTGCCTCGCCCCGGCCGCGCTGACCTAACGCTGTGCAAAGATTAATAGGCGGGACGGTCACTACCTTCTCCTGGAATACCAGGCCTCTTCAGCTCTAAGTTAACCCGAACTAGATCTGGATACAGGATCAAAATAAGCGCACCAAAGAAGCAGATCCCAACAAGCATTCTGGGTTACACTCGTATCAGGGGTGTTTCTTTTTCTGTTTGTTTTTTTTTTCCTTGCCAAACCAATGCTGATTAAGGAAGAAAATCTTACATGAAAGATAGTTTGGCCCTTCCTTATGCCATCTTATTTTTCATATTATTAGGTATGCATTACATACAGTGATGTTCCATTTAAAATTAAATTCTTGGTTTTTTTCTTTTATGTTTTGTTTCATTT